AATCCCGCAGTCAGCCGGCCGGCCGCCGTCTCCTTTCATCTCGGAGCCATCGAGCGCTCAGGACAGATAGGATCAATGGCAGGCGGGAGTAATTGTCATCCCAGGTAGCTATATCAGCCACACTACACCATACTACACTTTCCTGCCCGGAACACGGCTAAGACGCGAGGCCAGGAACAATCCACCGTGTCCAGAGAGACGCGATAGGTTAGGCGGGAAGAGGTCTGGTGGAAACAGGCTCGGGATGCGAGTCACGCGAGATGCGGATATCTACCTAAAATGCAAGATAACCAATGGCACAACAGTCAACACACTCCCAGACATAAGAATACGCCAATGAAAGAGCAAAGTCACTCACCAGCAGCACCGAATGCTTCGAGCTTTTGCGTGACGGGAATTGTTGGCCTCTTCTTCTGTCCACGACCTTTCTTCTTTCCATTCACTCTTGGCCGGCCGCCGTGTGATACAGCGGGTCGGCAGGAGGAAGCAGCGGCACGACCGCGCGCTGACGACTGGCCTCAGGTCGGCACGGGCTGACCGGGACGGCGGGGCACGTCCTCGCCGCAGGCCTGACAGCGCGTCTGGCCGGCCGGCCGCCGCCGGCGCCGACGCCGGCCGGCGCACGCGCCGCCCCCCTGTATCCGGTGGGCGGGGCGCGGCGGGCAGAGCCGAGGAGACTCTCCGCCGCTGCAGGTCACGGCAAGGTCACGATGAGGTTACTATGCAGGACGTAGGGTCATGAGGTCAGAGTGACCGATCAAGCAGCGAGGGATGGCTGACACTGATGCTCGCCGTCGCTGAATGGTCAATGGATACAGCTGCGCTCACTGTGAATATTCGTGAAAGGTAGGGAGGAAATAAATGAAAGCAGATGACGGAATAAAATTACCACGCAAGACTTTGGAACGGATAATACGTCACAAAAAAACGTAAAAAAGACGACCAACGACTATTGACCTAAAACGCTTCGGTCTGAAAGTGCGCAGTTGAAAAGCGCGGCCGTCGTCCCAGTTGAGGACCACGTACGCCTTCTCTGCGGGATCTGGCGTCCTTCGGAGCCGGCCGGTCTTCACGTATGGCTTCCACGAGGATGCCCAAAGGAGTCACACACCGCCTGAATGAGACTCAAGTCAGAGTTGGATAGCGCAGGACTGTGTGATACTGTGAAGTATCACACAGTCCCGATCTACGATCTACACAGTCCAGTGATCTACGAGCACTCACACAATGCGTAATTTGTATTTAATATATGTCACGATGATTGCGAGGTGCGCCCACCGAGGGAATGGGCACTGGGTAGGAAGGCCGTACCTAAGAGTTGGGCAGGAAGCTAAAATGCATTCCTGCATATTTGGTAAAAATGGTGAATCAAAAGATAGTCAGTGATCAAGAAAGCTGGTGTTAAAAATGACAAAAACGACCAATATAAAACAACAAATAGTCAACAGCAACAACGGTTATGTAATACAGATTACAGAACCCGGAGGCAGTAGCGGCGGAACACCTTCAATTAAGGGGGGGGGGGGCACTGCCGACTTTTGGTCCCATTCTTTCCATGCAACGCCCATAGGGCTAATGTTAAAATGCCAAAATCAAAGGGGGGCACGGTGCCTCCCCGTTCCGCCGCCTATGCCCAGAGCATATCTGATATCCGTCATCAATCATCATAGCTCTCCTGCTCCGTGATTGATTTCTGAGAAAGATGACAACAAAAACTCACATCAAACATTCTCATTCTTTCATTCATCGAATGTATCGCTGGCACAGCCTCGTGCATAACATCTCTCCGTACCAATAAGCTGACTGGGCTGCTCGTTTGTCGTGCACTGCCGAGCGATCTTCATCTCCATATGATGGATGAAGAAGCTCTGGTATTGACCGTGTCCGCTGCGTCAGGACCGCCGCGGTTTTTTTTTTCTGCCGCCACCCCCGGGCCGTCAGCGTCCTCATGTGATCAGAGCTGGCGGCCGCCCGACTCTCCCGGAGAGCCGCCGCCGCACGGTAGGCGATCGGGCCGGTTTAGCCTCGCGAAACCTCAAAGACACTTTTTTCCGAAAATTGGAGAACAACGCATACTAGTCGACAGAAAATTCATCAAAGATTACGATTAGTGCATTTGCATGGCTCAGGATACATTTTTTCGTAGACAAAAGTATCGTTAAAGACAGCGTTCCGTAACACATCATAAAGGGGATAATCACAGCCGATTTTTACGCTCTTTGAATATTTTGCGGAACGATGAAATTGCTAGGTGTTGAGCATCCATGTTGCATGAAAAGTGAAATTTAGATGTTTAGACGATTCCGCCATAGAAAGCAAGTAGACAAAATCAATTCAAAATGTCTTATAATTAGGTTAACTTTTTATATTTTTTTCTACCACTAAACATTACGTTCACTGAATTAACCAAGCCCAGCAAAAAAAGTTTTACGAGGATGAACTGAAATTAATGCTGTATCGCATGCACTAAGGCACTATCTATTAGGGGAGCCAGTGAAAATTTGCAGCCACTTGCAGCCCTGGCATCCAGACACTTTTTTCTTCTAAGGGTTGGCCGTGGCTTGGTGCACTTGAGGCTGAGCACAAGTGGTAAATGCCCCAAAAGGTGTTCTCGCGATAGCTCAAAACACCCAGGCAATAGAGAGCTGCAACCTGGCATACCTGACCTTTGATGCACGCTGGATCTTGTGACACCAACCGCACTTTCAAGTCAGGTCAGGTCACTGACCTATGACGTCATACATGAACCTCTGCACGATCCTCAGATGTCGCAAACTTGCAACGCTCTCAGTGCCAGAGTAACTTTCACAGGGAGGTGAGACTTGCAGGACTTATTGTCCTTCAGAGGTCTTACAACTTGTATATCTCAGATTTTTCCTAAACGTCACATAAAGTCAGGTTGGTCACGTGACCTCACCTTATAAGTCAATCGGGAAATATGAAAACTGTTATTTTGGCTCCAGGAATGATATTCCACTGTCTCAAGTACCTGGAATCGTTACTTCATGCACTCCTTGCAAGATCTGATGCATTTTTGCATTGTTGACCTTGCATGACGTCATTTATGACGTCACTAGGGTCATACGAGTTTTTCGTCAATAACTCCCGATCAAATTGAGCTAGAGAGTCGACAAGGTCACCAATGGACTCCGGAAGACCTGCCGAATCGAATGATATGCGATATGACCTCCTTCGACCAGCTTCGTGATTTGAAGACCTCTGACCTGACCTTGACTCGAGGTCAAGGTCAGGTTGACCTTACGGTGGCCTCACCTGAACAAAAACTATACCATTCGACGCGCCTGAGCAAGGCGAACATGACGATGTCAAAATCGTGGTTCTGCGGCAATTTTTTTGCGAAGTTATGTACCAAAAACCAAACCCGCTGCTTGGGTCACGTTATGAAATGGGGCCTTGCCGGGCGAGATTTACGCTGTTTCATGATATGTATAAATTGGTAGGGCATAATCGTTTGAATAAAAAGTTGGTTTGGAAGCAATTTTCTACGGATGTACACACCATTTCAATATCCTACCCAGCTCATACCGTCATAAATTTCGACCTACCCTCCAAAGTATTCATGCGTTATTCGAGCAGCAATTAGGCAAATGGCAAGCTCGCCACAGAGCACAAATCCTATAAGAGATAGTCCTTATTTAAAACATATGCTCAGTGGATATTCAAGAAGGTTGCTCCTAAATTTTGTGGTTCTAGCTTCAAAACCATGGATGTTATGAATGCCGATAGGTTTCGCGAGGCTACACCGGCCGGATCGCCCACTGTGCGCCGGCGAGATAGAGCGGCGGCACCGGCGGGCGTCATCGGCCGGTCGATACGCCGCCGCGTGCGTCATCGGCCGCTCCCCGCTCTACCTGGGCTCGGCCGGTGCCACGTGACACGTCGTGGCGCCGACGGTCGAGCACTCTCGCGACGCCATTGTGTGCCAGCGCCGGCGCCCAGCAATCACCACTATTGGCCCATTGAGGCGACGTCGGCACTCAGAGGACGCCATGTCCACGGGCGGGGATGCTGACCGCCGGAGACCCCCACTCGGCATGAATGAGAGCTGCGACAGCCCGGGACGACGGCGACTTCCGGCACTTCCAACAGGGACGACAGCGACTACCGACATATCTCACCAGGTCAACAGCGACTGCTGATAGCTCCCAAACACGGGACGACAGCGACTACCGACACTTCCAACGGGGACGACAGCGACTACCGACACTTCCAACAGGGACGACAGCGACTACCGACACTTCCAACGGGGATGACAGCGACTACCGACACTTCCAACGGGGATGACAGCGACTACAGACACTTCCAACGGGGATGACAGCGACTGGCGACATCTCCCACCCGGGATGACAGCGACTGCCGACATCTCCCACCCAGGACAGCAGCGACTGCTGACAGCTCCCCACAGGAACGACAGCCATCGCCGACAGCTCCCATTTCCGGGACGACAGCACGTACAACGGTACAACTCACATCAGGACGACAGTCATTGATGCCGGACGCCGGTTGGTACTTAGTACCAAGGCTATATAAACCTTAGTACTCAGTACTCACACACTTACTGCTGCGGCCAGCGCGATATGGGTCCTAGTCGTACACATTAGATGCATGTATCTTTGGAACTGGACATTTTACGGAATACAAAGACCAGCCCTGCATTGAGAACTGATTCAAAAGCTTGTTATATAATGGGTTGGACTTCGAGAAATGACGACAATTACCCCGTCAAGCCAGAGACAAAGACGAATGGAACTACGTGATCGTTATGACGTGGTTCAATAACGTCACGTCACCATTTGTTTATGACGTCACAAGCCAACCTGACCCAATTATGTTTGGTCTTCCAATTACAGCGACGGTTGTGTGAAACGCTAGACTTTCAGATGGCGAACGGGTGTCATCAGCGACCTACTTTGCAACGCTGTTAGTGCGAGATGTTTGAAATATATTTAGTGAAATATATAACGACAAAAACAACCATGTAGTGGCTCAATGTATTCAGTCGATGCACATTAGGGAAGCGATGCAAGGCACTGCAGATTAAACGTGCACATTGAGTCGTCTCACGAAGCTTGCATCTGACGTCCCGTTATTCAATTACGAGCAGACACCAGCTCGCACACTCTCACAGGGCAGACATCAACCGACATGACAGAGGAATTACAAACTGAAGGTACAACTAAACTATTAACGATATGGCAAAGTGTCGCTCCATGGCTGTTTCATATATCACGCGGTGAGACCATCTGCCACGGAAAAAAACGATGTATACTCGATAGGAACAAAATTTCTTACAAATGCATTGGCCACAGATCAATAAATCCAAATTTATTTAACAGTAACTAGATAAAATAATCTAAGGTTAAAAATAGCTATATTTTTCGATTAAGTACAGTAAAACGCCAACATTATGCAACGTCAAATATATAAAAGATGGTCTTCAGAGAAATTATTTCAGATGTCAAAGGAATTGCGGAACATTATAGAACGCTGGCCAATATACTGTCTAGACTGTCTGTAGTACTGACGGTTCACAATGATGAAATAATAATTAAAGGGACCCTCCCACCTTAACATTAGTTTTGAGTTGAGATAGCCAAGTTTGCGGCCAGGCTCAGAAACCACCATTTATCCTGGTCGCAACCCCCGCAGCTTTATGGTGTTCAAGAAATTTCTTCCCTTTACTTGCAGGGTGGGACCAGCGTGGTCCCTATCTCTTAACCATTACGGGAATCTGATGACGTCATCAGGCTTTCCAACGTCCGTTAAATGTTTGACTAAAACGTTTTGTAGCACGCGGTGGTATATGCTGCTTTGCGCGCAACAAATGCCGCACTTTCAAATAAAGTCGCTAGGAACAGCGGAGATCCCAAAAAGTAAACAAAAGTAAAAGTCTAATATCTTGAAAACCGGTGAATATTTTTCGATGAAAGTTGGTAGATATTCGTTTTTGCTCTTTCTGAACCGAGCGACATCACTTTCATGCCAATTCATTAACTTTTTTGAAGGTGGGAGGGTCCCTTTAAGGACTATCCCAAAAGCATCTCCAAGCTGCCAAAGCTCACAATAGTACAAGTCTGTGCCCACAAAACACCCACAAATCCACACAAACCAGTAACTGTTCAGACTGGTAACCTGATTCAGCAGGTATGAATCACATGGCATCATCGCCACAAGCTGTCACAACTCGGGATTGCCGAACGGAAACGCCGTCTCCTGCCCCACACTGATTGGTGAAACCCGACCTCGCACGATGGTGTCCGGTCGCGGTCAGTTGATTGGAACTGGCCATCCCACACACGCACACAGGCCGCAGGCCGCACGAACGGACGTCTGAGCCGGCTGTCACCGGGTGTAGAAGGATCAGCAATCACCGGTAAGTGTCACGGCGGACACAGACACCACGCCACGCCACAAGCAGGCATGAGCCGCAGTGAGCACTGTGATCAGTGGAGTGTGATCAAAACCGTCTGCAGCACTACATCATAGCCGTGTCACCGCTACTAATGCTCAGCCGAGGAGATATCACAGTCAGCACTGCCGGCGCCATATGAGCTGCCAAACAGCACCACTCGACTGCTAGCGATGCTGTGGTCAGATGCGATGCTTATCTACCGTATCTTCCCCAGTGACCTCCCGAGTGGACAAAAACAACCAACAAAATCACTTCAATGGCCCTATCACCCCATTGCCCTAATCATCGCCCTATTGCATTCTCATAGCAGTGTCGCGAAATAAAACCGTAGTCATAAAGATGAGTAAAACAGTAAAACCCCACTAATGGACCATGGTTACTGACTATCATTATGCAAAGTGCACGCAGCATTAGGTCCTGAATAGCGAGTATTGAAGCCGATCAATGATAAACTGGCCCCGCGGAAGCTTTATGTAATATCTACTGTCTAGCACGTTCTCCAGAAGATTTCTCAGCCGGCGGCTGTGGCTTACTCGGTGCGTTCCGACATGGGCACACGGTCCTTCAGATACTGCAGGATGGAGGCGGTGCCCTGGGCCAGGATCGCCGGCCGAGGCTGCTTGAACAGGTTACCCTCCAGACCGAGAGACCTGGCGGCAGTGGCAGATGCTTGGTTACTGAACGATAAAGACAGCGCACACAACGCACGGGAAAACAGCAATTCATATTCGGGATGCTATGTCATGAGAGCATAACTATTCCACAGTCGACGAGCCCTTAAAACTCCAACAAACATCATTTTCGGAATATGTGACCACGTGAGCACAAAGGTATTCTTCATACTTCCTCTCCTACATTTATTCAATTTTAATTATATTCATTTTCTGATAAAGAAACACATTTACAAAACTATTAAATAAACGAACGATTTTGAACAAATAAAATACATAAAATAAAGTCGGAATTCGCTCTAAAAACTATTCATCAGGTTCCTGGCAGCCAGCCTCCAATTTCGTCATCTGTCGTAAGTTCTGCTCCCGGACTACCAACTATCTCGGCGGCGGGGTGAATGACGCCAGCTCAGGCGGCCGGGCCGGGGCGGGCCACCCTCCGCCCCGCGCTCTCGCCCACCTGAGCTGCTCCATGTATCCGAGTTTGGCCGGCACGTGAGCGATGCTGTTGTTGCGCAGATCGAGCGTGGCGAGCCGGGTGAGCTTGCGGAGCGGTTCCACCTGGATCTCGGTGATCTGGTTGTCGCTGGCCAGGATGATCTCCAGGGAAGGCACCGAGTAGAGCACCTCCGGGATGGCCGTGAGCCTGCGGAGATTGACACAGAGTCAGAGTGGGAGGGGCTGATCCAGACGCAGGGTGTCGGTTGGTCAGTAAGGTAATCTTGGGTGACCCACTCGGTCCGATGGTTCAGATACCCGGCGTCAAGTGACTCGGCTAAAAAGAACAGAGCCACAAAGAATAACGCAACAAGTTATAAATCGCTCGTGGAGCGCAACTCTGTTATAAATGTTGCTTTTGCATCTTTAATATGTTTCAAAAGTTCATTCTCATTCGTTTGCAATATTGTTTCTCCTATAACTCGTTCTACAATTTTGTGCGTGATAAGTGAAACATCGCTGCTCTGAACTTTCGTAGCAGCTCAATATGCGGTCCGGAAACGTAATAAATGAGGAAGGGTTTCGTCAAACGTTAATTACCGTATGCCGTGGATTGACAGCGGACATTTGAAGAAAAAAACATCCTCACGAACCCGTGACAATTGTTGACAGCACATACACGCACTTTACAGTTAAGGCCGCCCCACACTGGACCTCGCATGCGGGTTGCGAGTTTTTGGGTTTTGGGGTTTCTTCAAAATCAAATAATACAACCTAGGCTGAGTAACCCACACTACCATCAAACAAGCGAGTCTGCATGTTTTTAGCTTGCGAGCGACCTTGCATTGCATTTCAAAAGTTGATTTTGAGTCAACTTTCGATTTTCCTCGCTGCGAGGTCTGCGAGTTCTGCGAGGTTTGCGGGTTTTTCGTTGGAGCCGTATTTTGGTTCGTTGCGCTGGTATTGCGACTATATGTAAGTTTCTGAAGGTGTACCGGCTTCACTGCATTCATGAAGTTACCATAAGGAAACGGTCTAATCACTCTATGAATTAGCATTATGCCCGCAAACTCAAAACCCGCAAGCCCGCAACCCGCATGCGAGTTCCAGTGTGGGGCGGCCTTTAGTGGGTTGCATCCCGCAGTGCTACAAGAACAGACACCACGTTTCGACATACCAGTTACTGTGTTGTGTTAGTGGGGTCGCCACCCTACAGTCAGGAATGATTGACGGCCAGACCCATTTCCTGAAGAAATGCAGTCCGCAAGTAAGACGAACCTGAGCTGCACCATACCAGTTTAGGCCAGAACCGCAAGCGCTACAGAACATTTCCAGATGGCAGAACAGAAGCAAAACGCAGAGACATTTTTAAACACTGTGGCAGAACCAACGTCTTAAACACAAAATAATCAGTTACTGATCTCACGAGCGAGGACTTTGTACACCAGCGCACACCTGACGGAATTATTCATATTAAAAGGGCTAGGCACGATCCAACAGCGACCAAGACCATTGTTAACTGCAGAACATATAATTCACTCCTTTAATGAATGAGCTCGGAACGCTTGCCAGGGGCTACCTATCTGCAAACAAATGCTGCAGGACAATGCACCACACGTCAAACTGCTGCGCACATGGAGCTGCGGCGGAGCGGAGCGCAAACAAGGGTACAAAGCGCTTTATCGTCATCTGACATTGACAAAACGCTACAAGTGCCATTTCAATGTGCCGTAATGTAGCGTAGCGTAGCTGTTATACTCGTACGTAACGCACGTGTAATGCGTATTGATTAACCCGCGCCCTGCTGGGGGTCCTGGATTTCCACGCCCTGCTGGGGGGGGGGGGTGTTTGAACACCCCTCCCCCTTGTAACTCGGCTCCTGGGCCACGTAGCGATACGCGAAAGGCGGCGTTCGAAAGAGCGTAAAAAATAATGACGAAATCACTTCAGTCAATTTTTTGGTCAGGTCAAAGGTCAGGTCACCAGAGGTCATTGAAGGCAAAATTTCGCCGATTTCCAGGTCAAATGTCGAAAATTTCCAAGAAGCCAACGCATAACTCGGGAACCAATAGAGCTACAGCGCCGCGGAAAAGCGCATTCGATAGCCCTATTAACGCCCTTTCTGAATAATCCTCTCAGATTTGACCTAACGTCAACGGTTTTGCCTGCAGGGGGCAAAAACTGCAAAAATAGCCGATTTTTTTGAAAACAGTTTTTCTGCAATAACTTTTGACCCAAGCCTTGTACGAGCTTACTTTTACCGGCATCGTGTTCCTCTCGTCAAGACGCATCGAATGAACTATAACTTGACCTTGAAAGGTCAACTTGAAAATTTGACCTCAGGTCAAGGTCATGACCTGACCGGAAAGGGTCATGTTGCATATCAGTCGATCCGTATCGTCGAGCTGAACACATCTAAGGCGTTTTCATCGCTCTAGCATGCCTCTATCAAAAGTTATTTGCGAAAAACTGTTAGATACCATTCGTGACCTAAGATGACCTCAGGGCATAAACAAGGGTCACGGACACCATTTTTAAGTTCAGTGTGTCTAAACCACTTGTAATTCGGTGTTTGGGAGTGTTTATAATGTCTTTCTTCCAAAAGAGGCGCATTTCAATTTTCTCCCATTGACTTATAATGGGGAGGTCGCAAAATTGACCTGACCTTAGGTCATCGATATCAAAATTCTGAGATATACATTTTGTACATGCTATTGCTCTTAGCAATCGCTGAAAGTTTCAAAGCGATCGGTCACTCGGTGTAGCTATGACAGACATTGAAAGTTTTTATGAGGTGAGGTCACTTCAAGTGACCTGGTGACCTGACCTTGAATGACCTTGGTCTGAAATTTTCACAACATGTGTAGAATTGATGTATGATAAGGTGTACCAAAAACGGCGGCGCGGCGCCGTTTTTGAGATATTTGCGAAAAACGACAAGGGGGGGGGGGGTGTTCAAACACCCCCCCCCCCAGCAGGGCGCGGGTTAAAGGCGCAGGAAAGTTTCCCTAATTCAAGTCGGGGAGAGTGGGGCAAAGCGGCCACCCTAACGCTTCTCACGATGCCAACGCTTGATTTTTAAACTTGGAAAGATTCTTTCTATGCCAATGTGATCCCTATTAAGTTGCCATTTATTTCAACTGCGTTTTATTTCCAAAGGCGTCCACATATGGAAGATATTGACAAAACTTTAAACATATGCATATTGGCCACTTTGCCCCATACCCTGGGGCAAAGCGGCCACCGGCGTCTTATCAAGTCCCGATATGAGAAACAAAATAGCTGCCTCATGTACGACTAGGGTATTTGATGATGACAAGGTTTAAGCGAGGATGGATGTTCACTTTATCATCTTCCACCTGTAGGTAAACAAAGAAAGGATTTTCATAAAAAAAACATTTAATTGCATTATTTGGTAACTCATGCAACTGAAAAGTGGCCAAGATGAATGCATGACGACACATTTGAATATCAATAATGTTTTTTATCCAGATGGAAACAACTTATGGCCAACTGGGGGGTGGCCACTTTGCCCCGGCCACTTTGCCCCGCGCATACCGTCCGAGACAAAAATATTCCAGCTTAGCTATCAGTGGGGTAAAAAACATTAAAATTGGTAGAATACATGTACGATAACCATGCAATGCATGGACAAGAACGCTTATAAAAATTCCAAACGGTTATGGAATAGCACAACATTTAAAAACTGTAAACATTGTTGGTAACCTGGCAATAAATACTTTTCCGTGTTTCACAGAACAATGGTGATGGGCCTGAAACTCCGGTCTGGCTCATTCGAACGACCGTGAAGAGAAGCATAATTGGAAACCATAAATTGGAACTGACGCCAGCTATGAAGGGCTAAAACGATGGGTGGCCGCTTTGCCCCGGGTGGCCGCTTTGCCCACTCTCCCCTACCTAAGGCCCGGCCACCAGCACCACAAATATTTCAGGAACCACCGCAGACCTCACTTGACTTCGAAAAAGCAGCCGGGCTAGCTTTCCGTTCTTTATTAGCTCGTCTTTGCTGAGTTTCACCGATAAATGTGTCATGCGACCGGAGCCTGCGAGTGAGGCGGCACAAACATCAAAAGGTCACGGGTGCTGCAGGAACGCCGAGCAGAGAAACAGATCGTGACTGCTCTACAAAAACAGGTCGTGGCTCGTATTATAGACGACCTTGCCGTGGCTGAACCAGCGCTAAAAGGTACAGCCACTTGAACCCAGCCCCTTGAGTGGTGCGGTCACGAAGCCGTTTTCAATCACACGACAAAAAATGCTGCGACACCTTTTCGCCAACACGTTTCGAAAATGTCACGCCAATTTAACGGCGCATTTGTAGCTTCCAAGAGTATGGACTTTTCACCAGTGGCGGCGAAACACCTTCAATTAAGGGGGGGGGGGCACTGCCGACTTTTGGTCCCATTCTTTCCATGCAACGCCCGTTGGGCTAATGTTAAAAAGCCAAAATCAAAGGGGGGGGGGGGCACGGTGCCCCGGTGCCACCCCCGTTCCGCCGCCTATGCTTTTCATCCTCTATCGATGACGGTAAAACTGCCATGAATCAGAACCTAAACATTACGCTATGAGCTGGGACCGTCCTCCCTTCTCTCGGCCCGTTCCGACTCAGCGGCAGGGACGGGCCGTGTCCGGTGCACCTGACACCGGCCGGTGCCACCGGAGACGGTCTGCCGACTCGGGACCCACCCCGGACGTCGGGACAGCCCGGTCTAAGAGAGGGACAACTCGAGACGGGGCCACAGAGGTGACCCGGGGCGCCGACCGTGTCCGCCGGCCTCCGGCTCCCTCACTGCCGCTGCTGAGAGGTCGGTGACATGACAGAACAGTACTTAGATCTTACGGTAGTCATTTTATGCCGCAATCGCAGGCGAGTGTATTCTGAAGGCAGCAATAGGTCATAGGGACGTCAAGGAAATAGTAGGCAAGGGCTGTGGCATGAATAAAAGCCAAGATAACTAGTGATGCAAAGGTGCCGGTTTGAGTCAAGGGCGGCGCCACCGTGGGGGCAGTGGGGACAGACTGCCCCCACTGGCAGGAAGCCGTGGGGGCAAGACTATGTTTTTGCCCCCACAAAATTTGGCTGATATATGGGAACAGAAGACCGGTGCAACATTCATTATAGGCGGTTATAATAGTACGCCTGTTTTTGACGGTCCTCGCATCAAGTGCGTCAGCAGAACGTTCGTT